ACGGATTTAGTTATCCGCACACCAGGGGGCGACTTGGCTATTAGATATAGAGATATATACAATCATACATATACAAAATATGAAATAAAGACCAGAAAACAATTGTTCCAAAGTTTAACCACTGGTCAAAAATACAAATGAAACCTCCAGTGCAATCACATATCCAGTAGTACTTCTCTCTGGTCAACTATATACTCTCCTGAGATTGTATAGCCAAATGTTCCCAATGAAATATTCCTTAAGTTAACTTAAGTTAACTGATTTGAATTGCTAGCTATTGGGGGCGTGGGCGTGCAGATCTGCCCTCACAGAGGAACGAGAGCTTGTACCTGAATAAAACTTGGTCTTAAAGGTGCCACTGGACTGTTTTGGATTGCTAGCTATTGGGTTGTGTGTGCAGATCTGCCCTCATAGAGGAGGGAGAGCTTGTACCTGAATAAAACTTGGTCTTGAAGGTGCCACTGGACTGTTTTGGATCGCTAGTTATTGGGGGGGGGGAACGCGCAGATCTGTCCTCACAGAGGAGGGAGACCGTGTACCTGAAGGCGGGCCGGGGGGGGGGTGTTCCTGCAACTTACCTGGCTGCTTCTTGCTCCTCGTGGCCTGACTGAGGGCTGCTGGGAGCAGGGGGCGGGGCTTGTTGCAGGTGCCTGCCCCCTGGGCTCCTTACTGCCGGAGCGCCGCTCCTGTGCGCTCCCGCAGGAAATGACCCCTGGTAACTATTCTGTCTCTGCAGTCACCAGGTGCTCAGGATCTCAGCCGCAGACGAAGCCCAAGTGGATAAAGTGAAGGACCTGGAAGAGCTGGAGGACCTCCAGGTAACGGCTGGTGGCTTTCATAAAAATGTGTATCTAGGGAATGTAGAATAAGAGAGAAAAGAGATCGGTTCCTGCAGCTTTGCAGCTGTGTTGCCTGAACCACCACTGGTGTTGACGGAGAATTCCTTTTGTGTGAAGGAGCCCTTCTGGGTTCAGGGTCAAAGCTCCCTTCATCAGATACTAGTAGGAATGGCAATCCATGACTCCTTCTATCCAGGCCCGTAGCTACGGTGGGGTTTTGGGGGGCTCTGCCCTCTTTCTTAAAAGCACAGCCCTACAAGGATTTCTCCTGTAAATGCTTTTTTCAATCATCTTATAACGTTTCCTTAAAGGTGTGCACTCCTTTAGGCAGACTGAGGGTTGACTAATTCCTGCACTGGGCAAGGGGGTTGGAGTAGGTGACCTCTAGGACCCCTTCTAGCTCTGTGTCAAGAAACCGGTCTCCTTGAAGAGAGTTTCCCTGCCTAAGTGCTAGCTTTCTTGACTCTAGAAGTCTTCGCCCCTGTTTTATCTTCAGAGGTAGGTGAGGCTGTAGTGGTGTAGTGGGTAGGCGCGCAGACTCTAACCTGGGAGAACCGGGTTTGATTCCCCACTCCTCCACTACATGCAGCTGCTCGGGTGACCTTGGGCCAGTCACAAGTTCTCTCAGGAGCAGTCCTTGAAAGAGCTCTCTCAGCCCCACCTACCTCACGGGGTGTCTGTTGTGGGGAGGGGAAGGGAAAGGAGATTGTAAGTCGTTCTGAGACTCCTTCGGGTAGCGAAGGGCGGGGGATAAATCCAATTTCTTCTTCTTCTTCCTCCTCTTCCTATCTAAACGGACATGTTCCCTCTCCTTTTCCTTTCCAGCTGGATTTCTGGCGGGCTCCTGTCCATCCCGAACTCCCCATCGACGTCCGCGTCCCATTCGCCAGCCTACAGGGGGTCAAGGTCTACCTGGAGTCCCATGACATTGACTACTCCATCATGATCGAAGACCTTCAGGTCAGTGGCGGCTGTTCAGGTGGCAAGGGGGAGAGGCCCCTGGCCTGCCTGGAAATGTCCTCCTCCGCCTTGTCTAGCAGGGGCCTCCCGCCTGTTTGAGCCTCTAGGAATTCTACCACAGAACGGTGGGCACATCCACAAAATGGCGGCCGCCAGAGGTGCAGCCAGACCCAAAATGGCTGCCGTGGAGCTTACCTCCAGCCACACAGCGAAGATGCTAAGGTGGCAGCCACTGCCAAAACAACATTTTAAACCATGTGCACGGCCAGTCGAATCTCCAATGGCCAATCAGGAAGGCCTGTGGGTCAAGAGCCCCACTTGGGCCTGCTGACTTTTCGAAAACATTAGTTGCTGTAGATTTTCTGGGCTGTGTGGCCACGGCCTTGGCATTGTAGGACCTGACGTTTCGCCAGTAGCTGTGACTGGCATCCTCAGAGGTATAACACAGAAAGAGGGAGTGCTCTCTGGGTCAAGGCGAGAAGAAAAATGGTAGGCAGGGAATTTATATCTACTCCAGAAAGGGGGGGAGGTAGGGCTGAGTTGTTATCTTATAGGAGTCCCCCAAGCTATGAACATGCTAACGGAGGAGCTTTCCTGAGGAGGTTCTTTTGTATATTGGATTGTTTCCTGAGGAGGTTTCCGGTTTCCTGAGGAGGTTCTTTTGCATGTAGATTGGCTGTTGGAATTCTAATCTTATCTGTAGTGCTATTGTCAGATGTAGAGCCTTTTGTGTTTTTCAGGACAGGGAACCATCCCCTATTTATTTTCAAACTCTCTTCTTTCCTGTTGACATTGTGTTTATGTTTGTGAATTTCAATGGCTTCCCTGTGTAATCTGACATGGTAATTGGAAGTGTTGTCCGGCCTTTCAGTGTCTTGGAACAAACTACTGCGTCCTGTTTGAGTGAGGCTATGTTTAGCCACTGCTGAACATAGCCTTCGACAACATATTTTCTGAAAAAAAGTGACAGGAGCCAGGAAAGGTGACGGTGGGCACCACATTGAGGACCCCCTGTTGTATAGGCTAGGTCCTTTGAGGAGATGAGATCTTCCTATTGGGGGGCTGGTCAGGAGCCTGAAAGATCCTCCGGTTCAACAGGCTCAATAGTGGCAAGAGTGATTTGCTTTGGCAATAATAAATGGATTGACGAATGATAAAGGCATCCATGAGGGACATACTTAATTATCTTACTGTTCCTTTGACTCAAAGGTCTTGAACAGATCAAAATCCAACCCTCTTAAAACTCCAACTATCTTTAAAAAAATCATCCCATTTCCCCCCGTAGATGAAGATTGGAAAACCACCTTAGCAATTGCTAAGTATTTAGCTGCGGTGATTGCCTGCAATCGCCGCAGCGAAATACTTAGCAACTGCTAAGGTGGTTTTCCGATCCTCATCCACGAGGGAAAATGGGACGATTTTTTTTAGGTGGTAAATTCACACCACCTATTAAGAGGGAGGACAAATACCTTCCTCTCAAATCAGACTGGATTTCACACTCCTAAGTTCTAAGGACTGCAACTGAGCATGCCCACATTTACAGACTCTGAATACGGTATGCCCGCAAATTGGCCTTGGCGGTATGGCTGAGAGGGAAGAGAGTAACAGGGCCAAGCATAAAAGCTCTTCTATCACAAGGCCGTGAGGGATATATGGACAGACAGAACCCTCCTCGATGGAACATTTGCAGGAACGGGTTCAATACTCCAGGATCCCAGGGTAACTCTGGAATAAAGTGTGATTATCTGTGAAAGGGAAACTGGAAAACAAAGCTCGATCTTTGCTTTCGACTGTGTTTGTACAGCCGACTGTTTCTCACCAGTTCTTCCTCCCTGGGCCTCTTCCAGGAATTGGTGGATGAGGAACAACTGCACATGTCACGCCGGCACTTTATGCCCTTGTCGATCGAGACCTTTAACTACGCTTCCTATCACAATCTGGATGAGGTAAGTGCGTACATTATAGATCTGGAAAGTTCCTTTCTGGGTGGAATGCCAGAGCACACCTGCAATGCTGATCCCGAGTTCCTTCTTCTCTGTCACTAGATCTATGACTTCATGGACCTCCTGGCGGCTGAAAAGCCCAGCTTGGTCAGTAAAATCCAGATTGGCCGGAGTTACGAGGGTCGCCCGATCAACATCTTGAAGGTAAACCCCCCCTCCCCCCGAAGTATTTATTGACGTGAGTTCTGAACCTTGTTTCATTTTGATTTTGAAGAAGAAGAGGAGGAGATTGGATTGATACTCCACCTTTCACTACCCGAAGGAGTCTCAGAGCGGCTTATTTATTTATTTAGGTATTTTTACCCCGCCCTCCCCGCAAGCAGGCTCAGGGCGGCTTACAAGGGGCACAAGCCCATACATAAAATTCAATAAAACAATAAAATCATAATCAATACATTACTATCAACAATAAAGTGCTTGCATCATCAAGATGGTCTTAAGTTGTTATAACAGTATCTTACCATCTCCTTCCCCTTCCCCTCCCCACAACAGACACCCTGTGGGGTAGCTGGGGCTGAGAGAGGTCTATCAAGAACTGCCCTTGAGAGGACAGCGCTTAGAGAAAAAGATAAAGTGTTGTAAACAGGGGTCATTTCCTGCAGGAGCACACAGGAGTGGAGCTCCGGCAGTAAAGATCCCAAGGGGCGGGCACATGCAACAAGCCCCACCCCCTGCTCCCAGCAGCCCTCAGTCAGAGCAAGAAGCAGCCAGGTAAGCTGCAGAGCCCCCTGGTCCAAAACAGTCCAGTGGCACCTTTAAGACCAGGTTTTATTCAGGTACAAGCTCTCCCTCCTTTGTGAGGACAGATCTGCACGTTCCCCCCCCCCCTCCCCTAGCTAGCAATCCGAAACAGTCCAGTGGAGCCTGAGCGGTGGGTGCTGCCTTCTGACACACTCCCGGTGATGTCAGGGGGTGTGGCCTATGCAAATGAGTCATGCTAATAAGTTCCTGCACCTCTTTTTCTACGAAATGACCACTGGCCAACACTGTAGGGGCAGCTGCTGCTGAAACAGCATTTCAATCCAATCTCCAGCGGCCACCGGAAGTCCTGCTGGGGGAGCGCCCTACCTGGACCCAACTACGGTTGCTAGGTCCGACCTGGCTGTCAGCGGCGGCGGGGGGGGGGGCTCCAAGGTCTGTCCTGGGATCTTCTGATGCACATGCCACCATAACGTCACCTGGAAATGACGTCATCACGTTGCCGCCATCGGGGGGGGGTTTGCTGGTCCAGTTTTGGGGCAAAACTCTATGGTTTGAGCCCAATTCTACCAAAGAGTTTTGCCCAAAGACTAGAGCATCCCCCCCCCCACATCGGTGACGTGATGATGTCATTATGTTGTGTTCAGGGGGATTTGCAGGCGGGGGTTCCCTCTGCCAGCCAGCGGCAGAAAGGGACCCTCAAACTCAAGGGAGCCACCACCCAGATCAGGGGCCTGGCAACTCTAACCCGCCCACAGCGGGTACCCTGGCGACCACAGGACCCCCGGTGCAGAGCTAGGTTTTACCCGAAAGGGTTGATTCCTATGTCCTGGAGTTCGCACGCATTTCCCCCCCAGCAGGATGACATTTGAGTCTTTAGACTGTGTGGAGTTGAGATGTCTGTTCAGGTCGACACCCTCAGGAGGAGGCAGGAATTCAGCCCTGCGTGTCTTTCCCTTTCGCAGTTCAGCACGGGGGGCGTCAAGCGGCCGGCCATCTGGATCGACACCGGCATCCACTCTCGCGAATGGGTCACGCAGGCCAGCGGGATCGTCTTCGCCAAGAAGGTACCAGCTCCGATTTCATCTCAAACACACCATCAGGGACAGGAAAGAAGAAAGAGAAGGGCTCAGAGGGGAAGTCCATCGCTGATGCGCCCGTAGTGATAGTGTTTAAAAAGGAAAATCCATATTCACAGGCAGTATGACCCAGAGGCCACGGTGGAGCCGCCGTGGCTCAGAGGTTAAGACGCAGAGCTGCAGAGCAAAAAAAGTCGGTAGCTCGGCAGTTCGAGACCCGAGTGCCGCTCCCATCTCTGGCCCCAGCTCCTGCCAACCTAGGAGGAGGAGGAGGAGATTGGATTTATACCTCGCCCTTCACTACCCAAGGGAGTCTCAGAGCGGCTTACAAACTCCTTTCCCTTCCCCTCCCCACAACAGACAGACACCCTGTGAGGGAGGCGGGGCAGAGAGAGCTCTGATAGAAATGGCTCCTTTTCAAGAACAGCTCGTCAGAATTTCGGCTTGCCCAAGGTCATCCAGCAGGTGCAAGCGGAGGAGTGGATTTATACCCTGCCCATCACTACTCAAAGGTGTCTCAGAGCGGCTTACAATCTCCTTTCCCTTCCCCTCCCCACAACAGACACCCTGTGAGGGAGGCGGGGCTGAGAGAGCTCTGACAGAAACTGCTCTTTTTCAAGAACAGCTCTTATCAGAGCTACGGCTTGCCTAAGGTCATCCAGCAGGTGCAAGTGGAGGAGTGGGGAATCAAACCCGGCTCTCCCAGATTAGAGTCCGCACACTTAACCACTGCCCCAAACTGGCTCTCACACAAACCTAGCAGTTTGAAAGCGAGAAATTGCAAGTAGATGAATAGGTACCACTCCCAGCAGCCCTCCGTCAGAGCAAGAAGCAGCCAGGTGAGTTGCAAAGCTCCCCCGCCCCCCGGTCCAAAGCAGTCCAGTGGCACCTTTAAGTTCAAGTTTTATTCAGGTACAAGCTCTCCCTCCTCTGCGAGGACAGATCTGCACGTCCCCCCCCCCAATAGCTAGCAATCCAAAACAGTCCAGTGGAGCCGGAGCGGTGGGTGTTGCCTTCTGACACCCTTCCAGTGATGTCAGGGGGTGTTGCATATGCAAATAAGTTATGCTAATGAGTTGTGCTAATGAGCTCCTGCCCCCCTTTTTCTACGGAATGACCCCTGGAAAGGTGTACTGTCAATCACAAATCAGCCCAGTAACGAAATCCATCTCATCCTCTGTTCACCCCATTAAGCTTCTCGATGGTTACGGCAAGGACGCATCCGTGACCTCCATCTTGGACCACTTTGACATCTTCCTGGAGATCGTCACAAACCCGGACGGCTTTGCTTTTACTCACTCCAAGGTGCGGCTTTCCCTCTGTAACCTCTGGGTTAGGGTTGCCAGCTTGGGATATACCTGGAGATGTTGGGGGGGGCGGAGTCTGAGGAGGCCAGGGTTTGGGTTGGGGGGGGGACATCGGTGGGGTATCATGACACAGAGTTCACTTCCCAAAGTGGCTGATCTCTGTTGCCCGGAGATTCATTGTAATAGTGGGAGATCTCCGGACGCTCCCTGGAAGTTGGCAGCCATGGTGTCAGCCGCTGGCTAAAGGACACACCTGCAGTCAAGTGGATTCTAAAAAGGAAACTCGCATAAAGAAACAAACCAGAAGCCCAAAGCCAACCCCTTCGAGCAGCACTGCAAGCTAAAAGGATGTCTCTTGCTGGCTGTTCTAGAATCGCATGTGGCGCAAGACCAGGTCTATCAACAGCGGGTCGTCCTGCGTCGGAGTCGACCCCAACAGGAACTGGGATGCTGGCTTTGGAGGTACTTCCCTTCTGTTCCCTCTTCTTTTCCCTTGGGGGAGTTCGGGCCGGTTTCCCTCGTTGAGCGTCAGCTTTGGGGCTGAACGGAAACTTCGCAAACCAACTGAAAAAATAATAATCATCTCCACGGCCAATCAGAAGCCCCACTGGGCAAATGCCCTACTTGGCCCCACCCGCTTTCTAAAAATACTAGGCAGGCACCAAGAAAGGCATCAAAGTAGGGCTCTTTTTGTAGCAGGTACTCATTTGCATTTTAAGCGACACCCCCCTAATGTAGCCAATCCTCCAAGAGCTTACAGTAGCTCCTGTAAGAAGAGCTCTGTAAGCTCTTGGAGGATTGGCCTACATTAGGGATGTGTGGCCTAATATGCAAAGGAAAGGAGTTCCTGCTACAAAAAGAGCCCTGCCAAGTGTGCCATGGCGCCCATGGGCACCTTGTTGGAGACCCCAGGCTGGGGAGGTCTCTTATACCTTCACTAGACTCCTGTTCCCAAGATTCTTTAGGGGAGGAGGAGATTGGATTTATACCCCACCCTTCACTACCCAAAGGAGGCTCAGAGTGGGTTACAAACTTCTTCCCCTCCCCACAACAGGCAGGTAGGTGGGGCTGAGAGAGCTCTGACAAAACTGCTCGAGAGAACAGCTCTGAGAGAACTGTGACTGACCCGAGGGCACACCAGCAGCTGCATGTGGAAGAGGAGTGGGGAATCCAACCCGGCTCTCCCAGATTAGAGTCCGCGCTCCTAACCACTACACCAGACTGGCTCACAGTGGCATAACAGTAGCATGAAACCCATGCACATTTGTAACACCGTCCTGTCCTTATCGGTCATGGGCTTTGTGACGGAACAGGAAAAAAACCGACTGCTGAGCTCTGGTCTGGAGGCTAGCAGGCATCTTGACCGTGCGGCCTAGCTGTCTGCATGCAGGGAGCCTGGAGTAATGGGACAACCATAGAACGTTTTGCAACTTCCTAAGTTTGTTCGTACCTAACTCTGATTGTGACATCTAGTTAGAGTAAGTTTTAGAACGAAAGAGGATGCGTTTATAACCAACGTTTCTTTGTTCTTCTGGTTGCCGATTTGGTGCTGTGCTAAAAGTACGCTTGAAAACGTTTTCCTTTTTAAATACACATTTTACTCTTTGCCGCTGGTGGTGGTTCTTTGTACCGCATAGCCCTGCAGCCGCTGTTGGACATGCTACAGGGGAAATGGGGGGCCCATGGGGAGGGAAGCGGTCAATGTGCACGTGCAGGGGAGCCCCAAAAACGCATTTGGTCCCTGCAGTAATCAGACACTGGGTAACAGGAGACCTTGAGGCCCGGCCTCAGAACTGAGAAGGGGAGTCAGGCAGTGTTCCCTCTAAGCTGAGTTAGTGTGAACTAGCTCAGTTTGCTAGCCTCCAGCTCACACCTTTTTATCTTAGCGCAGGAAGGATGGCCCCAGAGCAAACTAATTTATGCAGCAGCCCAATTGCTCGCTCACAACTTTAAGGCCAGTACTGCTCACAAAGTAGGATTTTTGTTCACAGGACTCCACGGCTTAGAGAGAGCATTGGAGTCAGGAGTCTGTCCCTCCTGGCAGGAAGACCCCGAAAGGACAGCAGTGGCAGCGATACCCTAGTGGAAGGAAGTGGAATAGCTCCCTCCAGGAGTGGGGAACCCAATGGAGTGGGTGGGCAGAACAGGGTCTGTTGGAGAAGCAGGCGTGTTCCGTCACAGGCTTGTTTGATCAGGAGCTTGCAGAAAGGATGCATCTCCACAGTGTTGGATTTGCAGTTTGGCACAGTAATGGCAACCATCGAAGGAGGAGGAGGAGGAGGAGGAGGAGATTGGATTTCAATCCAGCCCTTCACTGCCGGAAGGAGTCTTAGAGCAGCTTACAAACGCCTTTCCCTTCCCCTCCCCACAACAGACACCCTGGGACATAGGCGGGGCCGAGAGAGCTCTTGACAGAAACGGCTCTTTTTCAAGGACAGCTCTTATCAGAACTATGGCTTGCCCAAGGTCATCCAGCAGGTGCAAGTGGAGGCGTGGGGAATCAAACCCGGTTCTCCCAGATTAGAGTCCGCCGCACTTAGCCACTACACCAAACTGGCTCTCACAGCGAGTTTTGCCCTTTGCAGTGGCCGGCTCCAGTGGGAACCCCTGCTCCGAGACGTACCGCGGACCCCGCGCCAACTCCGAGCCCGAGGTGAAAGCCATCGTGGACTTTGTGAAGAGCCACGGCAACATCAAAGCCTTCGTCTCCATCCACAGCTACTCCCAGCTGCTCCTCTACCCTTTCGGCTACACCAGCAAGAAGGCGGCCGACGCACAGGAACTGGTAGGGCTCTCCCTTCGGGCGACTGTTTCGGGGAGCCTTCCATGCTTCACACTCTCTCCTCCAGCTGTTTTACCAGATGTGGGCATGCAATCCCCTATCTCATTCTTCTACCCGATAACATGAGCTTATGGGACATCCACCCTACTAACGGGGAAGTGATATTGTGGGACACAGGTCCCCCGGTATCGCTCCAACTCAACCCAGAGGTGCGGCTCGTCCGCCTCAGGGCCCAGACTGTTCCGTTCGCACTCAAGCCCAAAATCGAGACCGAACCGGACTGTTTGGTGGGGCAAGGAGTTTTAGAGCCAGTTCCCCACGGCTGCAGTGGCTCAAGTGGTTAAGACGTTGAACTGCAGGCTGTGGAAGGTCGGTAGTTCAGCAGTTCGAGCCCCGAGTGTGCCGCATGACGGAGTGAGCTCCTGTCTCTAGTTCCAGCTCCTGCCAACCTAGCAGTTCGAAAGCAAGAAATTGCAAGTAGATCAATAGGGACCACTTCGGTGGGAAGGTAACAGCGTTCGGTGCGCCTTGGTGTTTAGTCATGCCGGCCACATGACCACGGAAACGTCTTCGGACAGCGCTGGCTCTTCGGCTTTGAAACGGAGATGAGCACCGCAACCCTAGAGTTGGATTCGACTGGCTCTCAAGCAAGGGAACCTTTACCTTTACCTTCTCCACGGCACCTGGGAGACCCCCATCGTAACCCCAGCTAAGCCAAACGGGGATGTCCGCATCTGCGCGGACTACAAACGTACAATCAACAAGGCACCGAGTGACCATGCGTACCCAGTGCCTGTGGTCAGCCATGTCCTAGCAATATTGGCGGGGGGCAAGGTCTTCGGTAAATTGGCCCCAAAATACCAACAGCTCCCGGTGGACGAGCCGACCGCTGAGGCACACACCGTCATCACACACTGGGTGCGTTCAGACGCGGCGTTTGCAATGGTATAGGTGCCAGTTGCAATTGGTGTACTTACCGGCGTTCACACGTAGAACATCCGCCTTCCGTCCCTAACCGTTGCAAAGCCTTTAAACTGTTGTACTCTGCCACTAGGTCCCCAAGTGGTAGTATCCTGAGTACAACGGTTGTAATCGCTGTACCCGCCGTCTGATCGCTCTCCACCGTTGAGAAACAACTTCCATTCGGAAGCCTGAGGCTTCCGATTTTCGCCCGCCATTTTTTTTAAAGGTCGGCGATATGCGCTTGGGCAAAGCTTCGCCCTGGCATTTGTTTTTTTAAAAAAGAAAAGGGCCTTAGTTTAGCATTTGGGAGGCGTCCGGGACCTCAGGGAGGCTACTTTGCTCTTTAATGTAAGACGGGTTTTTTTGCGCATGCGCAAAGATCGCCATTCTGTGGATGGCTGCCTATGCGCATACGCAAACTGAGTTTTAAAAAACCGTCGATGCCCGCTGCGTGTGGACGGGCATACAACGATGGGCTCCGCAGACAGGAGGTAAATGTCATCGCGTTTCAGACGGCATAAACTGCAACCGGTTCCAACTGGTACAGTTTATGCTGGCTGAAACGGCGCATCTGAATGCACCCACTGGGGTGCTTTCAGTTTCTTTGGGGCGCTCAGCACTTGGGGCTTTGCAAGGCACATTCCCCCCAAAGACGACAGTTTCAGAGGGTAGACACGCTGGTCCAGTAGAACAGCTAGATTTGACTCCAATAGCACCTGAGAGACCAACGAGGTTTTCAGGGTATGAGTCCAAGCTCTCTTCGTTAGATAACAAAGACGACACTGGAGACCAAGAAGCCCTGTGAGGAAAGGCCGAGGGACTCGGGAATGTTCAGTCTAGAGGAGTAGGGGCGGGGGGGGGGGGGACATGGTGGCTCTCTTTCAGTATATGAAGGGCTGTCACTCTTTAGAGGAGGGCAGGGCAGCAGAGGAGAGGACTCACAAGAATGGGTTTAAATTAGGGGCGGGAAGGTACCGGCTGGATCTTAAAAAGGGAAAGGTTCCCTTGCTCAAAAGCCAGTCGAGTCCGACTCTAGGGCTGCGGTGCTCATCTCCGTTTTCAAGCCGAAGAGCCAGCGCTGTCCGAAGGCGTCTCCGTGGTCATGTGGCCGGGCATGACTAAACACCAAGGCGCATGGAACGCTGCTACCTTCCCACCAAAGTGGTACCTATTTATCTACTTGCAATTTCTTGCTTTTGAACTGCTAGGTTGGCAGGAGCTGGAACGAGAGACGGGAGCTCACTCCGTCATGCGGCACACTCGGGTCTCGAACTGCTGAACTACCGACCTTCCACAGCCTGCAGTTCAGCGTCTTAACCACTTGAGCCACAGATCTTAGGAAAAGCTTTTTGACAGTCAGAGTTGTGCAAGAGTGGGATCGGCGGCCTGGGGATGTGGTGAGCTCCCCCTCCCTGGCCGTCTTCAAGCAGCGGCTGGACAAAACCTTGTCAGGGATCCTCTGGGCTGGTCCTGCATTGAGCAGGGGGCTGGACTAGGTGGCCTCTATGGTCCCCTTCCAACTCTGTGATTCTAGGATTCCATAAAATTAAGGACAGGCCTTGGCATCATATTTGCAACCTGATGGATGAAAGTAGAAAATGGACAGTGGACAGTGGACAGAAAATGGAAATTGACTGAAACAGAAGCCAGGTGGAACATCTCCAGATGTTGCGTAATGCACTTAGTGTTGAGAAGGACTAGGCGGGACACGATGGGATTTTGGATCAGCACGCACTGAAGCCTTACTGTGTCTTTGTGGTATTAGATTTACAAAGAAATATACATGCCCTGGAGCTGCGGTGGCTCAAGTGGTTAAGACGCTGAACTGCAGGCTGTGGAAGGTCAGTAGTTCAGCAGTTCGAGACCCGGGTGTGCCGCATGACGGAGTGAGCTCCCGTCTCCAGTTCCCGCTCCTGCCAACCTAGCAGTTCGAAAGCAAGAAATTGCAAGTAGATAAATAGGTACCACTTCGGTGGGAAGGGAACAGCGTTCCGTGCGCCTCGGCGTTTAGTCACGCCGGCCACATGACCATGGAAACGTCTTCGGACAGCGCTGGCTCTTCAGCTTTGAAACGGAGATGAGCACCGCAACCCTAGAGTCGGACTCGACTGGCTTTCGAGCAAGGGAAACCTTTACCTTTACTTTACTATACAGGCCCTGCCGGCAGAGAGGGGACTCTGAAAAAAGTGGCAGGTGTCCAGAGAGTGATTTGGACCTCATGCCTCTTCCACTACAAGTGCAGCTTCCCCAAGAACAGAGGGCCTCCTCCTGCCACAACAGGTTCCGGCAGGTGGAGAAAGAAAACACCACCTTGATTAGAACAGATCTGTGAGATCTAACCTCGCAACGTGCACGGCCCCAGTCCCAAGATTATCGATCCCCACTTCTTTCTGCCAAGCGCAGCCTGAAACTTTCTCTAGGGAGAAACTGCTTTTGCAGTTTGGACTCTGATGAGTCTTTCATTCCGAAGGCTGGAGGAAAATTTGGCGTCAGCAGGAGACATCTCCTCCCATTGGTGAAGCATCTGCCAGTTCTCCTGGCTTACCAAGAAGAGTTCAGGTTTACAAAGGATGTTCTGTGAGCGTCTGTAAAACCAGTTTAGAAACCCAAACTATTTTCTAACACAGGCAGGGTAACCCAGAGATCAGGAATAAAAGGGCAGTGTTGAAAGACAGAAGAGATTCTCGGTTTGCAAAAAAAAAAAAAGAGTTAGCAATAGAACAAGGGGGTGGGATAAAGAGACAAAACATTTTTTAAAAGCATACAGACAGCCAAAGGAAGGGCCATAACAAAAAAAGTTGTTTGTGAACTAAATTCAGTCCTGCAGGAAAAGGGAAGCCAAACCAGAGCAGAAAGAAATAAGGAAAAAAGAAATGTAAGAATTTTAGAACAAAAGGAAAATATCGGATTGTTCCTCCTGTTCTCCCCAAGTTAAGCTCTGCTCTTCCCTTTAAACAGTACAGAGAGGCTGTAGACTTTCTTCCTGTCCCTGAACAGGCTTGTCTGCATTCGCATTTCCCTTGCTTGTAAGTTCCTGTTTCTTCTAGGAGTTTTTCCTGTTCTGCACGTGTTGTGGTCCCTCTAGTGGCTGACTCGATATTACATCGGCTCATGTCCGGCATAGCTCCCTCCAAATTTAGACTGCAGTTTTTTTATGCTGGACATATAGCGATGTAATATTGAATCAACCACTAGAGGGAGAATGTGGAACAGGGGGAAAAAACCCGGAAGCAACAAAAGTGAGGAAAATGAGATTGAGGAAGAGCCTCAGATCTTATTCTTCCTTTCATGTTCTCTTCCAGGATGCGCTCGCTAAGAAGGCGGTCGATGCGCTCTCTTCCCTGCATGGGACCCAATACAAATACGGCAGCATCATCACCACTATCTGTAAGTCACTACTGTGGTCCTCCAGTACACCAGAGGGCGGTCAACAGTTCTGGAGCACCCTAGGCTCCTGCATTCTTTATGCACTTAGAAGCTGCAGTTAGGTGACAATGCACAACCCATCCCTTTAGCTACATTCTATGCAACATCTTGGCTGCGCATGGACTTTGTACAGACACGCGGAAGGCCACTGGGCAGGGACTTAATGGCTCCTAGGCCACAGGCTGGTCAAGTTGCATTCAGAACAGACGCACAAGCCCTTCCATGGGCAGAAGGCAAGACTGGGGAAGGGCACGAACTGGCTTTTGAATGAAAAGTTCGTGATGAATTTTAGCCGTGCTTCACGAACCATTAAGCAGTTCATGGCGTTTTGTGAGTGGCAGAAAGCAGGGGTTTAAAGGGCTTACAGTCCCTTTAAACCCCTGCTTTTTGCTCCCCACGGCTCACCTGTTTTTCGCTGCAGGGGTTTAAAAGGACTCCAAGCCATTTAAAACCCTTCCAAGTGCCCTGAAGGGATTTAAATAGCTCAGCGTCCCTTTGGAACTATGCTTTCTGCTCCCTGCTCCCCACGAACTGAAACAAACCGGTTCAGTTTGCCTGGGAGCCTCCTGGTTCGGTTTGGTGCTTGGCCACGAACCACGAACTGAACCGCATTTTTGTGGTTTGTGTCCATTCCTAGGCAGGACAACAAGTATACTGTATTTATGTCATGTGGTTTAGTTTCAGAATTTGGCTTTCCTAGAGATAGTCTTTTCTACAAGCTGCAAGACTGCTGTGGGCAGAGGGTCGAGCGATGTTTTAAGTTGCAATGGTTCTAAGTTCCTCTGTCAGACATTTCGTTTCCTGTCCCAAAAATCTTTTAGCTAGGAGTTAAAAATGTGAAACCGGAAACTGGTGGCATATGCAGAAGGGTGGAAGATACTAGGAGTGAAGATGTGGTCCCATTGCCTGGCCAATGAAACTTTCCATAGCCCTTCTTCTATTTTTAAAGCACTTATAATTTCAGAGAGTTCTCTGTAATTATGGGTTGGATGCTGCCGATCCTTTTGCTAGGAGAGGTGTTCCTTTTGGGTAAAAAAAACCTTCTCCCAGAGGAAAGCACTTTTGCTTGGGGAAAGGATCTTGGAGGTCCAGTCCAGTATATTGGAGTTCTTAGTTCAAGTCCGGAGTCTACCATGAACATTGTGTGATTTCAGGTGAGTCGCGGAGAAAACGGAATTCAAAGATCACCTGCTCTTTCTCGTTCACTCGTGTTGTTTAATGAACACTTTGTGACATCATTTCTAGAGGGAAGGGGTACTGGTAGTCAGGTAGCCCAGACGTGACTCTCTTACTTTCTTTTGTGTACTTATTTCTAGACCAAGCCAGCGGGGGTACCATTGACTGGACCTATGAACAAGGCATCAAGTACTCGTACACCTTTGAGCTGAGAGACACGGGGCGGTACGGGTTCATGCTCCCTGCCAGTCAAATCATCCCAACCGCCGAGGAGACCTGGCTGGCCCTGAAGGTCATCATGGAGCACACGCGGGATCATCCGTACTAAACCGGAACTCGGTGCCAGCTGCCATCTCGGGGGGTAGATCTAGCAAGCGTAATCCCCTACTGCAATGATGAGGAGGTTCTTGAATAAATAAAGCCATTTGGCATTGACTTCTCTTCCAAAAAAAAATTCCTCTTCAGGTTTGCATTCTTGGTGGCATTTTTGATTTGACAAATTAAAGGGACATTGAAGTTGAGAGACGCATACTTGGTTGACAGTCTTGTACGACATTCCGGTACGTTATCTACCTAGATAGCCCAAGCTAGCCTATTCTCATCAGATCTTAGAAGCTAAACAGTCAGCCCTGGTTAGTATTGGATGGGAGACCTCCACGGAAGTCCAGGGCGGCTACGCAGAGACAGGCAGTGGCAAACCACCCCTGAACGTCTCTTGCCTTGAAAACCCTACAGGGTTGTGATTTGATGACATTTATCCCTGCTCAGGATAGCCCGATCTCACCAGAGTTTGCAGGCTAAGTAGGGTTGGTTCCGGTTAGTACTTGGATGGGAAACCACCAAGGAAACCCAGGGTTGCTACGCAGAGGCAGGCAGTGGCAAACCACCCCTGAACGTCTCTCGCTTACAGGGTTGCGATAAATCGGCTGCAACTTGACAAGGGGAAAAACCTTTCCTGCTACAGAATCACGAACTGTTTTTCAAAGGACATTTTGCTTTTAGGCTAGTCTCTGGATTCCTTCACGTGGCAATCTTAAAAGGTGGCCATGGCGGGAAGAGCCAGAGTGTGGCCTGCCCCTGCTCATGGCAACCCACTCGATTGGGCAGGATTCGTCTGACTGCCTGGGATGGAACGAGGAACCTCTCCAGTTTGATGCGCGACGCATTCCCTCTCAAGAGACATTTAAACTCGCCCATCTCCTTCGGTAGTTAAGATCCCAGAACCACTTGTCTGGTTATCCTTATAAACATTTTGTCAAAAAAAGAAAAGAAAACCAAAGAAGAAACTGAAAGCTATAGGAGACATTTTTCTTTTATTGAGCTGAAAAAGAAAACCAAACTAGACACAACTATCTAACCCACCCCAGTCCTTGAAAGCGGCAACAGTATGACATAATTAACCTAATGAGCAAAATATCTTGCCTTGCACGCGGGGAGGGCGGGGTATAAATGAAATGAAATAAATAAATAAAATAAATCCAAAATCCACAAAGCCAGGAAGAGCATCAACGGCATCTTGAGCTGTTCTTCCAATATCAAGGATTAAACAAAAACACTCTCCTTGATGAAGTCAGAACTCTGCCATTCTGATGCACACTAAAGTTTTGAGGAGTACGGAGAAAAGGTTTGGGTCTTGGCTACATACTCCAAAGAAGAAGAAAAACCAAACATCTGGGAGTGGGAGAACCCAGGGCAGTTTTCCCTCATAAAACAGATTTTGATTAAAGAAATATATAGCAATGCCTGATAGGCAGCTGCATCGAGTTGGGAAATCTCGTAGACTTGTGGCTTCACGGGTGTATGAAGCAGCTGCATGAAAATTAAATCATATTTAGGCTTCGCAAAAAACCCCCAAAGAAGCCACATCAGACTAAGTACAAATCTGTGGGCTTTTCCACATTTTCATTTTCTTCGCTTGTGTGTTCTTGTTGCTTCAGGGGTTTTTTTTGCCTGTTCTGCATGTGTTTGGCTCCCTCTTGTGGTTGATTTGATATTACATTGTTTTGTGTTTGGCATAAAAACCCAGGGGGAGCTATGCAGACATAACACAATGTAATATCAAATCAACCACTAGAGGGAGCAAAACACATGCAGGACAGGAAAAAGCCCTGAAGCAATTGGAACACACGAGCAAGGAAAATGGAAATTCAGAAAAGCCCAATGTTTTCAAAACCAGTTTCAAATCAGTTCACCCTCCTGACTTCTCACCAAGGAATCTCAACACCAAGGCATTAAGACTTCCCTATTAGAGATCCTTAACCTGTTATACTACAACTCCCAGGATTCCTTTGGTGGAAACTGTGAATTAAACCAGTCAATGATTTTCGTGCACAGTCAATGATTTTCGTGCTAGGCAGGAGTGTATTGCCTGGGAAACACATTAACACTTTACATTACAACAGGTGCAATTTTTTAAAAAACTCAAATGCTGCCAGCGGAATCAAAAATTCTAGCTCAAGAGGGAAATGCTGTACCTGTTGCGCCACATAAGCTTGAAAAACAGGGGCAGAACCACTGCAGATTCAACGGGAGCAGGACATGCATCGAAAGCAAGAATCCAACCAAGAAGCACCAGTCATACCATTCATAATAAATACCGGACATTTAACACAACTCAGTTTGTAACAGTCAAGTAGCTGAATCCGATTGGACAGGATATTTACAGTCATTACGAACATGGGGAAAAGGAAGCCGGGGGGGGGGGCTTCTCGGAGCCGGTCACACCAGGACACAACCTTGGTGGAAGAACTTGTCTGAGGATGTGGCCGAAGTCAGTTGAAAGATCCCAACCTTCAGATGGAGCCTACTGAAAACTGGCTGCCCGTCAAGTCAATTAGATAGCAGAGGGTCATTCAAATGCACGAGAAAACAGCCTTCCCAAAAAGTGCAAGAAGGGTCTGCAGACTCGAAGTAGCCAGCTTCCAGCAGCGGAAACCTAAAACTAATCACACTGTCAAACTCCCAGTTTGGACCTTTAATCTTGCAGGCCACAAATGCACCACAAAAGAACGATCGGCACCTCGGCCTCGTGTTCGAGCAAACACAGACATTGGGCGTATGGTTAATGTACACTAACGTTGTTCGTTTCCACAGGGAACCGTCGTTTTCGGGTGCTGCAATCCCGCCGCAGAGGTTCGTATAAAAATAGGCATCTTTTAAAAAAACGTATAAAAAGGAGAGCCCCCAAAGCGCGGCTTAGATGAAGACAAAAAGACGCGTTCAACGGGAATCGGCAGCAAACTCCGTGTGATTTCATTGCTTTGTAGACTTTGATGCCGCTTACGATGTGGACCCCAGCGGCTGAGAAATACAAACAGGCGCCCTGATAACAGTGGAATACTTTCTAGCGGGCTTGTATTACTGACCGAGGATAGCACTCTCTCGGGCTCGGTGGGGCCCTGCACCCCAAGCTTAGGAACTGCCCATCCCGAGCTCTGCTTTCCGTGGAATGCTAGTCTCTACGAGGGTTATTCGAGAATAGGACTGGCCGACACCCACGCATTAAAAACCTCAGCGGTGGAATCGGTCGTTTGTGGGACATTTTTGGGCAACGGATTTTATCTGCTTGATGAGAGTGTCTGCGAAAAGTCATGCGTGACCACCACTGCAGTGGGCTGGATCCAGTGGATCCGTTGCACAGACAGTGAGACGCTCCCCCAGCACCTCTTGCTTATTGCCCCGGGAGAAAGCACTGCTGTTAGTACAACGTATCCACGGGATACAACCCAACTCCCCCACCTCCCTTATGCACTGGCCCGGAAATACTTCAAGCAGCACTCCAGGAACGACGAATGTTCGAGGCGAAAGAGGCACTCTCTTTCCTGAGCCTTTTTGGACTACAAAGGCCGTTTCCCCGTGACAAACAGCTCTCCCCCGGTTCATTCTGTTCCATGTAAGATCATTCTTTGAACAACGCTTTATGACAGAGGTGGAAGAGTACGACGTCTCGCTAAGTGGCATGGAGAACTTTTGAATACGTATACTGAAGGACCCAGCTCCGGTGAGGAGACAGAGGCCAAGGAAAACTTTCCTCCTAAGGGGTTCTATGTTTTTGACTCTGGGAGATGCTTTGGGAACAATTCAAGCGTAAGAATCTGCCTGGAAAACAAGACGCTAAAACGGAAACCGGTGCCAGTTGTCTTCCAGGAGAGATTTGTTCCAGTGGAGTGAGCTAGAATCACGCCCATGGAAATTCCCTCAAAATTGCACGTGCACTCTCGGTTCCTATGTCTTCCAGAGATAATTCAAGCAGCAGAACATTGTTCTGGAAGCGTCGCTTGGGAACAGGCTTTCTCTTCCCAGCACTGCGGGACAGACACCCTTTATCCCTGTTTCCAGAGACCCCATTCGGTTCAGATCATGCAAAAGATAAGATCGCTTCTACACGGGGGAGGGAGGGTGGGAAGAGAGGAGGCCGAATGGCTTACCAGGACCCGGCCACAAGCTTCCGAGGGTGTTGATTTGGATCAGGGTGACAGCAGGAAGTGAGTGGCTCATGACCTCTGGTGCGGGGTCAAAAGTACTCCCGCCTACAATCAACATGGGACAGGACGAGAGTGTGCCCATACTTTGGAAGCCAAAGGACCTCTCTCCACCTAGCAGAGGTGAAGCAGGCAGGGAGAAGAGTCTGGGCACCAGCACCACTCCGGAGCTCGTGCAAACCGTACCGGGGGTAACTGTTCTGCCGCACGGCAAACCCAACTAAAGGGACTGGTCGGGAAGTCACGCAACCTGCCTGAAGAAACCCTTCGAGCCAAACTGGGTGAGGTGTAGGAGAAACATCTGCTGTCTTGCAAGCCGTGAAACGAACAACAAAAGAGAAATGCCTCTGGGGGAGGGGGTCTGCGTTGGCGAGGAGGAAAGGCGGATTCACTTCTTCTGCTCCGACCCTTTGGGTCAAAAAGCCCCGAGCTGCTGTTCTTCTTCTCTTCTTCTCCCGTTTGGAGCAAATGCGGGATTCTGAGCAGAAGCGGCTCCTTTTCCCCTGCTGTTCCGCCGCAGCCGACTGCATCTTCCCATGTTGCAATTCAGTTAACGGGAGGGGGGAAATCAGAGGGGAGATCCATCCATGTGTCATACGCACACTGTGTCCAGTTTTGGCCCACAGAGGGGCACCAGGAGCCGGAGCAATAGAAGTGTGACCCACCTCGGCTCTGTATTCACCACCTCCAGGGTGTGGCTGGAAGTAGATCCGGGCTCGCGCCAAGCTTAAAGGCTGTGGTTCCTTAGCGTTTGAAAGTGGAAACAGCTTCCGGGGTGGGTGTCCTAATTCAGACTGTGGCCATGGCACAGGGAGGGGGGTAAAGCCCTCTTCCCTCACACTGTGGCCCACATCTAAACCAGTCCCCCCACACACATAGGGTTTCCATCTTTGTAAAAAGACCCGAGAAGATCCATTAACAGTTCTCCTACCAGCACATCTAAGCTTGGCCTTAGTTCAGCAGTGCCACTCGTAAGCTATTTTCAAACCACAATGCCGGGTGAAAGGCCACAGAGGAGGCACTCGGGTTGTCTGGTCGTCAGAGTCCCCCTTTGGGTATTCAACCTCAAGGGTCGAGGATATTGCTCCAGTCTTACCTGCCACCCTTTTTGCGACTCAATTGGTCAATTTCCTTCCTCTATTTCGCTTAAGAACCCAGTCACGTTTTTTGCTTCAAGACAGTTTTGAGGACTCCCAAGTTCTCAGGGACCAGTATACAGTCAAACACTCTAACACTCCTACTTTCCCCCCAAAATGTACAGAACACAGACACAAATTGGAATGAGGAGGCCCGGAAAGGTTGGTTAGTTTGTCCCAAGAGTTTCCTTCTGTGGCATTTCCCCCGCGGCCACTCTGTACCCTCCCCACCTCCCCTGCGCCCCCCAAACGCCACCCCCCTCTTGGCCTGCGCGTACCGTCTTCCTAAAAGTGACATACGGGCTGTAGTGATCAAAGGCCCCCCGGGAACGGGAGTCTCTTTTTATTTGGAGACTCAATTTTGAGCGAGGGAAAAGACACCGTCTATTTCCACGGCTTGTTCTGCAGGCTGCTGCTGCTGAGCGAGCGGGTGGGAAGGGCCACGGCCGAGGTGTTGGTCGGAAGGTTCTGGCTGCTCTTGACGGCGACGGCCCTGGAGTCGCGGGCGGAAGAGCCGCGGCTGAGGCGGCCTAGAGGAGAGGGGAGAGGAACAAGGAGTGAGGCAGGCGACTCTGCTGAGAAAACTGGCCACTTCCCTAGGACCGCCCCCCCTCACAGCACAGAAATGACAACCTTTCTGAACGGGTGGGCACCTTTGGAATCCCGACACAGCGTGGTGGGCGCACCCAAAAAATGGCAGCTCCGGGAGGCGGAGCCAGCCACACGATGGCTGCGGCGGCTCATCTTCAGTCGCACAGCGAAGATCCTTGCGCTGTGGGGGCAGCAGCTGCCCCAGCTATGTTAATAAAAGTCTGCACAAGCAACCCAGTCTCCAGTAGCCAATCGGAAGCCTTGCTGAGCCAAAGCCCCACCTGGCCTCGCCCGCTGTCCAAAAACATGTGGGGAGTGCCGGGAACGGTGTCGGGCACTGTGCTGGAGACCCCTGGACTGCATGGTGTGTGCTTGTTTGTGTTTTGCTGCCTCTGGCTCTCCTCTCGTGCTGAGAGTTAGATTGTGAGCTCCTTGGGGGCAGAGACCACTCTCTTGACTTGGGTCACAGCGTAAAACACTGTGCGGACAGAGGTGGCTGCAAGTGGTGCCCTAAACCCTACCTTCTTGAGTGTATGCCTCATGCCGAATCAGACCCTCCGTCTATCAAGGTGTGTATTGCCTGCCCTGACTGGCAGCGGCTCTCCGCTGAGGCCTTCCCCTGATAAGAACATCAGGAGAGCCCTGCTGGGTCAGACCGGTGAGGGTCCATCTAGTCCAGCATCCTGTCCCACACAGGGGCCAGCCAGTTCCCCTGGAGGGCCCACAACAGGGCAGAGAGGCCGAGGCCTTCATAAGAACCTCAGGAGAGCCCTGCCGGATCACACCAGTGAGGGTCCATCTAGTCCAGCATCCTGTCTCACACAGTGGCCAACCAGTTCCTCTGGAGGGCCAACAAACAGGGCAGAGAAGCCGAGGCCTTCATAAGAACCTCAGGAGAGCCCTGCTGGATCAGACCAGTGAGGGTCCATCTAGTCCAGCATCCTGTCTCTCACAGTGGCCAACCAGTTCCCCTGGAGGGCCAACCACAGGGCAGAGAGGCCGAGGCCTTCATAAGAACCTCAGGAGAGCCCTGTTGGGTCAGACCGGTGAGGGTCCATCTAGTCCAGCATCCTGTCCCACACAGGGGCCAGCCAGTTCCCCTGCAGGGCCCACAACAGGGCAGAGAGGCCGAGGCCTTCATAAGAACCTCAGGAGAGCCCTGCTGGGTCAGACCAGTGAGGGTTCATCTAGTCCAGCATACTGTCTCACACAGTGGCCAGCCAGTTCCTCTGGAGGGCCACCAACAGGGCAGAGAGGCCGAGGCCTTCATAAGAACATCAGAAGAGGCCTGCTGGATCAGACCAGTGAGGGTCCATCCAGTCCAGCATCCTGTCTCATGCAGTGGCCAATCAGGTCCTCTGGAGGGCCAGCAACAGGCCAGAGAGGCTGAGACCTTCATAAGAACATCAGAAGAGCCCTGCTGGATCAGACCTGTGATGGTCCATCTAGTCCAGCCTCCTGTGTCATATAGGGGCCAATCAGCTCCTCTGGAGGGCCAACAACAGGGCAGAGAGGCCGAGGCCTTCATAAGAACATCAGAAGAGCCCTGCTGGATCAGACCTGTGATGGTCCATCTAGTCCAGCCTCCTGTGTCATATAGGGGCCAATCAGCTCCTCTGGAGGGCCAACAACAGGGCAGAGAGGCCGAGGCCTTCCCCTGATGTTGCCTCCTGTCCCTGGGGATGCAGAGGCATTCAGAGAAGGGCAGGGTCTTACTGGCAGTGTCTGAAGGGAGCTGGTCCTCTTCTAGGTAGTACTGTATCTTTTGTAGATCCTCTGCTGTAAATCTCCATTTAATCTCCGAGGGTGGGGGCGGGGGCTGCCGGGGGGTGGCTCTTTTCCGGGCGCTCCCGGGCTGGCTGACTGGCAGGCAACAGGCGGGAAAGGAGCCGGTGACCAAGCCTTCCGGGAACTTCTGAGCGATGATGCGGAGACCTGGGGGGGCGAGGGGGAGGGTGACTTGAAGAGGGAGGGAGAGATCCTTCCAATCAGGAAGGGCGGTGGCCGAACAAGCTCCCAGCGGGGTGGGTCCAACCATCCTCCAACCTAAGACACTCCCCCCCCCACTTAAGACCTACCTAAGTCACCTGGATGGCCCCAGATCACCCGATCTTGTCAAATCCCAGAAGCTGAGCAGGGCTGGCTCCAGTGCTCCCTCTAAGCTGAGTCAGTGCGAGCCGGCTCACAGTTCTTTAGCCTCCGGCTCACACATTTCTGTCTCCGCTCGGGAAGGAGGGCCCCGGAGCGAACTAATTGATGCAGTAGCCAGATCGCTCGCTCACCACTTTAATGTCAGTAGTTCGCAAAGGAGGATTTTTGCTCACAAGACTACATAGCTCAGAGGGAGCGTGGGTTGGCTCTGGTTAGTGATTGGATGGAGACCACCAAAGAAATCCAAGGTTGCTACGCAGAGGCAGGCCAATGGCAAGCCACTTCTGTCTGTCTTTTGCCCCAACCTGGATGGCCCAGCCTAGCTCAATCTGTTCAGATCCCAGAAGCTAAGCAGGGTCAGTCCTGGTCAGTATTTGGATGGGAGGCCACCAAGGAAGTCCAGGGTTGCTACGCAGAGGCAGGCAAGGGCAAACCACCTCTGGACGTCTCTTGCCTTGACATGGATGGCCCAGGCTCATCAGACCTCAGAAGCTAAGCAGGGTCAGCCCTGCCTAGTACTTGGAGAGGAGGTCACCAACAAAATCCAGGGTTGCTACGCAGAGGCAGGGAATGGCAAACCCACCTCTGGTTGTCTCTTGCATTGAAGAAGAGGAAGCGATTGGATTTAGACCAAGCCCTTCACTCGGAGTCTCAGAGCGGCTTACAGACTCCTTTCCCTTCCCCTCCCCACAACAGACACCCTCTGAGGGAGGCGGGGCTGAGAGAGCTCTTGACAGAAACTGCCCTTGAGAGAACAGCTCCGAGAGAACCTGTGACTGACCCAAGGTCACACTGGCAGCTGCATGTGGGGGAGTGAGGAGTCGAACCCGGTTCTCCCAGATTAGAGTCCGCGCTCCTAACTATCAAACTGAACCAGCACCTTCACGCGCAGGACGGCAGCCCTAGAGTGAGTTTGATTCCTTGCGGGGCCCAGGTCTCTGCGGATCATGTGATTCACATGGGTGGGGGAGACTTCAGAACCGACAGCCCCGAAGCTGCGAAGAAACACCTGCCGGGTCTTCCCTACCTCCGGAGAGCATGAATAAGTTCTCAAAGCCCCTCTCGCACATGGTGGTGGCCGCCTGGCTGGCGACACGCTCGTCGTCGTCGTAAAGGATGATGATCTTCCCGTGAGCGTTTTTCTGATGGGGGGGGGGGGGA